GGAAAGGAATTGGGGTCTGGGAAGTCTCGTGCTTTTGCTGCTGGGCCTGGCTGGAATCCATGCATGCAGCTGCATCTCGCAGTCACCCCTTTAATTTTGCTGTGTAGACCTAACCTCATGGGCTTGAAATTAAGTTGCTAATGCAAGTAATCTTGTCTACTTTGTTACTATAACATGAGTGACAAACCCAAATTATGAACACAATGCTTTTTTTGCCCTGTAGACAAGGTAGTGTATCTGTTTGGTGTGTCTATACAGCAAAATGCAACACTATTTTCAGGTTGCTGAAGTCTAATTTAGAATGCTACTTGTGCTACTCTACTTGCTTCTCTGCATGGCTAATTAGCTCCACCAGAGCTGCCTCAGTTACTGGTGCATTGTGCCATGTAGGCACACTTCTAATCCGTCAAAAAGTTACTCACCCTGGGAGCCACATCCAATTCTCCCCTACAGTTCAAAAGCCGGGGGGAGTGGGGTGGGGGTGCTGAGTGACCCAGTGACAGAGTGGGGGGGAGGTGGTCAGTGTTGAGCTGCTCTGACTTTTCCCGCAGGGAGTGCGACCCAGAGTAAGCAGCACAACTGCAGCCCCCACCCCGGCAGCCCAAACCGGCAGTCCCAGGAGAAGTGAGCGAGGCTTCAAGAACTGGGGCAAGAGCTGCAAGTACTATGCCAGCAGGCCGCATGTGACTCGCGAGCTGCGGTTTGGCCACTGTGGCACTATGTAATGGTTTGTGTGTTTCTGCTGCAATGCAGTACAGTGCAGGTAAATAACATTACCTATCAATAAAATGCTATTTTCTAAAAATCTTGCTGTTCAGCCTGTTCAGTCTCCACAAGAGAAGGCTGAGAGGGGATCTGGTGGCCGTCTATAAACTGGCCAAGGGAGACCAGCAGGCAATGGGAGAGTCCCTGTTCCCCCGAGCACTACCAGGAGTAACAAGGAATAACGGCCATAAGTTGATGGTGAGTAGATTCAGGCTAGATATCAGGAGGCGCTACTTCATAGTCAGGGCAGCTAGGATCTGGAACCAACTTCCAAGGAAAGTGGTGCTCGCTCCTACCCTGGGGGTCTTCAAAAGGAGGCTAGATAGACACCTAGCCAGGGTCATTTGACCCCAGCATTCTTTCCTGCCCGTGGCAGGGGGTCGGACTTGATGATCTGCTCAGGTCCCTTCCGACCCTACCAACTATGAAACTATGCTGTTGAGAATAGGCAGACCTAAAACAACAACCAAATTAGATTGTCAAGAAGGGATTAGCTACTGCTTTTTAATGGACCAAATACTGAAATTATTGGAATTAAACCACCACATAGTTTGGTTCAATGCACTTTAATAGGTATACATGTGTGTCTGCACTGTGCAAGTGAGATGCACAATTTCAAATATCTTTCTAACCATTTCACATACTTGTTGGATGGCAACACAGAAGTTTTGGCTTACTGAAACTCAGGGGAGAGAAATTATATGCATTATTAAATTTAAAACCACCAGAACTGTTGTACTTATAATGTGGCTCTGTATTGAATTCATGATAAAATACAAGTTTTAAAATTTAAACAAGACTTACAGAATTTGCTGTTTGTTGCACCAGATTGTTGCAGAGTTTTGGGCATATTTGTCTTCCTGGCAAACATTGAAGAAGCAGGTTTTAGAGAGCAGGGCTTTTTCTCACTCACCCGTCTCTTTGAAATTCTCCTTTATACAACCATTAAGGGCTGATCAAAAAGACTTTCAGCAAGTCATGGAACGAAAGTAACTAAAATTTATGTCAAGTTTTTCTGCTGATACATTTTATTCTTATTCCTGTAATGCGGTATTAAACTTCAAACTCCTATGGTTGGGAGAAAGACCTCATTGTTACTTAAACATATTTTTATAGCAAAATTTTATTTGGCTATGGCTAGTATCAGGATTTTTTGACAGGCAGATCAGTTGCTCAAAGATATGTAAACGTATACATAATTTTTGCAAGTATTATTTTGGCAAACGGCAAGCGAATTGCTTCTGTGTTTGAGCTGATACATTTTCTTAGCAATGTTGTAAGATTTAATTTAAAAGGAAGGCCATCTGCCATTTCAAAAATAAACAAATCTGGGCTATGTTTGTCTTGTAAAGAGAGCCAGGGTGATGCAGGATGTGGAGTTGACTGGAACTTTCCATTCCAATTTTCCTTCCTCATTTAACTTTTCTTTGTCTGCTTGAGGCAGAAATGATGCATCTGTACTAGAGGACTGGGAGGCAAGGCGCCTTTTTCTCAGTCACACCGCTGGCTTGTCGAAGAGTAGTAGGGGAGCAGTTGGATCACCTTTACCTTTTCCTAAGAAGAGTCATCTTTGCCTCCTTCAGAAGTCCCCAGTCCATTTACTTACTCTTGCTCTCCATTGTTTAAGTTCTTCTTCTCTCTTGGCCTGCAAGGATAT